GGAGCCAGGCGGGGCATGAGCCGGGGGCCGCCCCCATGAGGGTCCCTGGAGGGGGGCGCGCGCAGCAGCCACGGGGTCATGGGGTCTCAAGTGTTGCAGATCCTTCGCCAGGGGGTGTGGGCCTCGCTCACCGGAGGTTGGTTCTTCGATCCACATCAAAGCACCTTCTCCAACTGCTTCCACCTTTATGTCTGGATCTTCCTGCTCACCTTTCCATTCTTGCTGTATATGGTGAGACGCTGCTGCCACCTGTAACTCCTGCCGGGAAAGGGAGGACAGGATATCTTAGAGGGCTGGCCGTGTGGTAGGGATTCGCAGCTGTACCTGGGGTTCTGGGTTGTGGAGAGGGAATTGGTGCAGAGTTTGGGTGTGTGTGGAGACACCAAGTTCTGTCTTTCCTGGGTCAGGTGACCTTGAGCCCTTCAAGCAGAAGACACATTCTCTTGACAGGGTCTTTGTACTGGTTGTGTGGAGGGCTGATGAAGTCTTGGAGTAAACTTGTTAATTCTAGCTATGTGGCAAATACCCCCCAGAGAATAGAGCAGTGTAAGAAGCTGCCTGATTTATTGCCACTTTCAGGTCCTGCCCCCCAGCTTGATGGTGGCTGGTGTGTACTGCCTCGTGGTGGCTGTCATCTTTGCTACCATCAAGACTGTGAATTATCGGCTGCACGCTATGTTCGATCAGGGTGAGATTGTGGAGAAGCGCAACTCTACTATTGGAGAGCAGGAGGAGGAGCCTGCCCAGGCAGACAGCAGCCTGCCCAGGTGGGTGGGGCAGGGCTGTGTGGAGGGGCTTGAAGGTTCTCAATACCTAGGCCTGAGCCTTGGAGGGAGAAGAAAGGCATTGGCTGAGTGAATGTGAGCATATGTTCTGCAGTCAGATAGGTGAAGGGACCTTTGAGGGTGGAGAAGTGATGAAATGGGAGAAGTAGAACATAAGGCAAGGAGGTTAGCTCAGAGCTTCTTCTCTTTCCACTACTAGGGACCCTGGAGTGGAGATGACAGTGTTTCGGAAAGTGAGTTCCACACCCCCAGTACGCTGCAGTTCTCAGCATTCTGTGTTTGGCTTCAACCAGGTCTCGGTGAGTAGTCCTGGCCTTCAGCTTCCCACACTTGGGAGCCAGTCTGTTTTGAGTGGGTCCTGAGCCTGTCCTGTTTGCTCCTTCATGCCCCTTTCTGTGCTCAGGAGTTGCTTCCCCGGATGGAGGACGCTGGGCCTCTCAGAGGTAGGTGGCTGCTGCTCAGGGTGAGAATGTAATGTGGAGTAGGGCGGTACACGGCTGTCCTGGGGTCCTGTTGACACCTCTGGTGCCTTGGTTACAGATATCAAGGAGCTGGTGCGGGAGCAGGGCAGCAACAATGTGATTGTCACCTCTGCAGATCGAGAGATGCTGAAACTCAGCTTACAAGAGAAACTGAGTGAGTGGGCATGATAAGGCAGGCACTTGTGGGAAAGACTAACTGTTCTGTCCTTGAATCATTCCAACTTTTGCTTTTTCCTGGGTCTGTTTTTGTACTCCTGGATGGGACTGGACTTTCAGGGAGAGCAGAAATCTAAGTCACCCTATCTGACATTCTGTCTTCCTTCTGGCAGTTGGAGACCTTCCCCAGACACCCCCAGGAGCTATCCCAGACCCCTGTCTCCCGAGCACGGACTCTTCAGAACGTTCTCCCCTGGCTGGAGATGGAGCTCCCTGGAGTGGGAGCAATGTGGCTGACACTCCCCTGAGCCCCTTACTGAAGGGAAGCCTCAGCCAGGAGCTGAGCAAGAGCTTCCTGACCCTAACCCGGCCTGATCGGGCCCTGGTGAGGACCAGTAGTCGACGGGAACAATGCTGGGGAGCCAGTGGCTACCAGCCCCTGGACCGGCGGGGCTCAGGTGAACCCACACCCCAGAAAGCCGGCTCCTCAGATTCCTGCTTCAGTGGGACCGACAGGGAGACACTGAGCAGCTTCAAGAGTGAGAAGACCAACTCAACACACCTGGACAGCCCACCGGGTGGGCAGGCCCCCGAGGGCAGCGACACTGATCCCCCGTCTGAAGCTGAGCTACCTGCCTCACCAGATGCTGGGGTCCCCTCGGATGACACACTGCGTTCCTTTGACACAGTTATTGGAGCAGGGACACCACCGGGCCCTGCTGAGCCACTCCTGGTTGTGCGGCCCAAAGACTTGGCCTTATTGCGGCCTAGCAAACGGCGGCCGCCCATGCGAAGACACTCTCCACCTGGCCGTGCCCCTCGAAGGCCCCTTCTCGAGGGTGCAGGCTTCTTTGAGGACGAGGACACCAGTGAGGGCAGTGAACTGAGCCCAGCCTCCAGTCTCCGATCACAGCGCTGCTACAGTACTGACAGCTCCTCTTCTACTTCCTGCTACTCCCCTGAGAGCTCTCGGGGTGCAGCAGGTGGGCCTCGGAAGAGGCGGGCTCCGCATGGGGCTGAGGAGGGAACTGCTGTGCCCCCTAAACGGCCCTACGAGACCCAGCGGACGCCCAGTACTGCCAGTGCCAAAACACATGCACGTGTGCTGAGCATGGATGGGGCTGGGGGTGATGTCCTGAGGGCTCCCCTGGCTGGCTCCAAGGCCGAGCTGGAGGCCCAGGCAGGAGTGGAGCTGGCTGCAGGTGCTGGTGAGCCTGCTGGGCTACCTGCTGAGGCCTGCAGGGGACCTGCTGCCAACCAGCCTGGCTGGCGGGGGGAGCTGCAGGAGGAAGGTGCTGTGGGAGGAGGTGAGTGCTGGCTGCAGGGGTGGAGTGGGTGAAGGAACTGGGGACGTAGGTTTGGGCAGAGGGTGGGCTGGAGTAGACCTGGTTGGTGTCAGCTCAGCCTCCATCCCCAGCAACAGATTGACATACACTCAGTGATTGAGTGATGCTGTGTCCCAAGCCTCTTGGCTTGGCAGGGCCCAGCCATCTGCTTCTGGTCCTGGGGTCAGCTCTGGAGTCTGCTCCCTGAGGATTCTTGTCATCCATGCTCATTCTTCAGCCACAGTGGGGCAGGGTAGACCAGTGCCACCCTTATTTCCAGAAGAGGAGACTGAGGCATGAGTGAGTGGCTAGGTGACCTGGCTGGGCTGTGAGCATTGTTCGACTGGGTGTGACCTTTAGCTCCATGCTGTAGCACCTGCCGCCACCCCACCCACCCTTCCAGCTCTGATCAAGCTTCTGTCACTTACACTTGGGGGCCTTTCTGGCAGCAGCCGAGGAGACAGGCAAGCGGGAGTGCACAAGCAATGTGAGGCGGGCTCAGGCCATACGAAGGCGCCACAATGCGGGCAGCAACCCTACTCCTCCAGCCTCTGTCATGGGCTCACCACCCACGTAAGCATCTGACCCCTGGGCTGCACAAGTGGGAGGCGAGCTGGCTCTGCCAGTTGCTGACCCAGGGCAACCCTTTCCCAGCAGCCTGCAGGAGGCTCAGCGGGGCCGTGCGGCCTCCCACTCGCGGGCACTGACACTGCCTTCTGCCCTGCACTTCGCCTCTTCACTGCTGCTCACCCGGGCCGGTGCCAATGTACATGAGGCCTGCACCTTTGATGACACCTCTGAGGGTGCCGTGCACTATTTCTATGATGAGAGCGGTGAGCCCCTTCCTAGTCAGCCCATCACAACCTGAAGTGTAGGTGTCTTGTCACCTTCACTCTGCTGACGAGGGAACCAAGATGCACCTGGAGTCACAGGCTGAACCAGTGGTGGGACAGAGAGCCAGACCCAGGGCCTGCTGACCATGGGGCCCAGGCCCTTGGTCTGTAGGCTTTTTTAACCAGGTCTTGGTCCCCAGGGGCTGGGCTGCCATGTCATGGGTTCTTCCTCAGTGGTCCTGGTGCCCATGTGAGTGTGGCCTCGGCCTGTCCCTGACACATTGCCTTATCTCTCACACTTGTCTCAGGTGTGCGGCGCTCCTACACCTTTGGCTTGGCTGGAGGTGGCTACGAGAACCCTGTGGGACAGCAGGGGGAGCAGGCAGCCAATGGGGCATGGTGAGTGTTCATGGTGAGCCCTTCTGAGGTAGCGGTCTGGTGTGCTGTTTTGCTGGGGAGCACCCTAAGCCAGTCACTCTCTTCCTCTGCCAGGCTGGGGCAGCTCCATCCTGGAGGAGGAAAAGATGGGGAGCAGTAAAGGGCAGACCTGGGGGGATCCTGGGGACCCTGGCTCTCTGGTGCTTCTAAGTGGAAGGCTTCCAGGGAGCCCGGGGCCTGCTTCCCAGGAGTAGGGGAAGGAAGCACAGTCTGGGAGGAGAGTGCTTCTGCCACTTGCTTCCTCCTGACTCCAGTGCTTCTGTTCCTTTGGGCCCCAAGTCATGGCCTTGCCTTGCCCTCAACCCAACCTCATCCCAGAGCTTGCCCACGACCTTGATCTTCATGATTGCTCTACCACAGGGACCGTCACTCACATTCCTCCAGCTTCCACTCGGCTGATGTCCCCGAGGCCACAGGAGGCCTGAACCTGCTTCAGCCAAGACCTGTAGTTCTGCAGGGCATGCAGGTGCGCCGGGTGCCCCTGGAGATCCCGGAGGTGAGCAGCTGGAGGAGGGGATGGGGGCGTGTGGTGTGCAGATCACTGAGGCTGGCCTGAGTAGAAACTTGTCCCAGTGCCCTAGGAAGGACAGCCACCCCGAGTGAGGGAGATCTTGGGGACTCTGCTGTGCTGCATCAGTTCTGACTTTTGAGGGCTGGCCAAGGGTGCACAGGCCTTGATGCTCAGTGGTTCAGGAAAGTGTGTATTTGCTTACTCTGCAGCCTGTCTGGAGTACCTTCCTAATCCAGAAGGGACCTGGTAGAACAGAGCCAGACCCACTGGCTGACTACAGGTCTTTTCCTGTCCAGGTCTTGGTCCCTAAGGGATGAACTGCCATGCCTGGGGACATGTCATAGGGCTTTTTCTCATTTATGGCTTAGTTAACAGGGACAAACTGTATGTGCAACAGTACCTACAAAAGTAGCAGTTCGGTTTGCCATTCAGAAGCAGCAGTTCAGTTGATGACCATGCTCTTCCCCATACCAGGAGCATTCTGTATGTGTGCGATTTCTTTAGGTGTCCTCTGTTAATGCTTCTTGTCTCAGCATAGTTCTAGGTAATATCTTCTTTTTGTTTGAGACAGGGTCTCCCTCTGTAGTTCAGGCTGGACTTGAACTCACTATGTATCCCAGGCTGGCTTCGAACTTTCATCAGTCCTCCTGCCTCAGCCTCCCAGGTGCTGGATTACGGGCTGGGTTCACAAGTGTGCGCCACCATGCCCAGCTGAATAGTTTTTTTTTTTTTTTTTTTTTTTTTTTTTTTTTTTATTCCTAAAAACATCTCAATTTGGACAGAAGGTTACATGGTCAGTTTAGGGGAATGCATAAAAATATATTCTCAACTGTCTAGTTACAACTTCATGGGTGCTTGAGCTGAGGAGCTAGCCTGAACAATATAGCAAGACTTCAGAAACAAACAAATGATCTCAAGAGTTTAAAGAATAATTCTGAAAATGCTGGGCATGGTTGTGCATGTGATAATTCCAGCACTCTGGAAGGCTGAAACAGGAGGATCCCAAATTCAACCTCAGTCTGGGCAATTTTGTGATTTAGTAAGACTCATTAAGAAATATAGCTCAGTGCAGTGCTCACTTCAACAGCATATACAGTTAAAAAAAAATGTAGCTCAGTGTGAAGGTCTTGGGTTCGATTGCTAATACTACCACCAAAAAAATTTTTTCTTTTTTTTTTTTGTTTTTTTTTTTTTTTTTTTTTTTTTTTTTTGCTTTTTTGGCTTTTTTGAGACAGGGTCTCACTATGTAGTTGAGACTGACCTGGAACTCACTATGTAGCCCAGGCTGGTCTTGACCTCACAGTGATCCTCCTGCCTCAGCCTCCCGAGTGCTGGGATTATAGGCATGTGCCACCACGCCTGGCAAAAAATAATTCTAAGAGGAGTAAACTCATATCTAATGGCTGTGGCATGGATGCCGCCATGTGCCCTTTCCTGATCCACTCAGACTTTATAACCATCACTGATTTCAGCGTCATCCTCACACTCCAGAGGCAAGGGTTGTGCATCTGAGCCTTTCCATTATGTTCTCTATCCTGTCCACAGGGCTGGGCCAATAGCTGTGCCCTGTGAGTGTTTTTTTTGAGAGGTGGGGAGGGTGGGAGTGGGTATTGAACTTGAACCCAGGGTCTTTGCATTGAGCTATATCCCCTACCCCACTTTTTAAAATTTTTGTTTTGAGATAGGGTCTTGATAAGTTTCTAAACTGCCTAGGCTAGGCTAAAATTTGTAGTTTTCCTGTCTCAGTCTCCCAAAGTGCTGCGATTACAGCACCACGGCACCCAGGACCATGAATGCTTGTTCACTGCAGGACACAACAAACCTAGAGTGGAGTAGTTCAAACAGGGCCTCATGGTGCCAGCACTGGCATGCAAGCCTGTCTTCAAGACTGGGACCTCTGGTCCTAGGTGGGATTGTCATGGTCACAGAGATGACTTCACCTGGGAGGAGGAGCATTTGTGGCAGATTTTGAAGGACAGGGTGAATTTTGCTGTGCCTAGGATGAGGCAGGAGATGCATCTGATTATGGAAGGTGGACATGGTAGTCAGTGACTGTGGTGCCTGGTAGTCTCCTGCAGCCATGGAACAGTGTCCTAGGAACCCAGAGTGAAGAACAGAGCCTTGTGATGAAGGACCAGGACAGGCTGTGTGGCCACTAGATAATAGGGACTTCCTGTGCTGAGGGAAGTGGTCCACCAAGCCAGTGTGTTGGGGCTGGGGATGGAAATTGATCATGGGGGTGGTGGGGCTGATAGCCGCGGCTGTGGGGACTGCAGTTTGACCTGCTGGACCAGGACTCCCTGCACGAATCCCAGGAGCAGACCCTGATGGAGGAGGCACCGCCCCGTGCCCAACACAGCTACAAGTACTGGCTCCTCCCTGGTCGCTGGACCTCTGTGCGCTATGAACGTCTTGCCCTGCTGGCCCTGCTGGACCGGTGAGTGCCCACCTGCCATGGCCACCATCCCAAGAGAACCCCAGATCCTTGGCCCTCTGAACTTTCTGGACCTGTAGAGACAGATGTGGTGTAAGAGAACCTGATGGTACCTTGATGGCAGTGGCATTTCTTTAGGTTCCACTGGGGTGCAAGGGGCAGCCAATTCCAGGAGTGCTGTAATAGCCCCGCTCATGACAATTTCTACTCAGATCATTATTTTTTATTTTTTACTTTTTGGTTTTTTGAGACAGGGTCTCACTCTGTAGTTGAGACTGACCTGGAACTCACTATGTATCCCAGGCTGGTCTCGAACTCACGGCAATCCTCCTGCCTCAGCCTCCCAAGTGCTGGGATTACAGGCATGTGCCACCACACCAGACTTCTGTGTTTGATTTGATTTGAAAATTAAGTGCTGTGACCTGCAGAAGCACACAAAGCATTTGCCTTGACTTTCCCACTTCTTAGAGGGGAAACTGAGGCCCAGAAAAGTCAAGTGACTCTTGTCTAATGTAGAGAACTGGACCTAAACCCACATTTGGACTTACTTTCCATTGGGCTCTCTTTTGGCACAGGACTGTGCCGGTCAGGTTCTGCCTGTGTCTGTCTTGTGGCATGCCTGGTATGGTTTGTCCATTGTAGCCATGTGTCACCGTGAGCTGGAGATGGGCAGTTCATCAAAGTGCCAGTACCTCAAGCCTCAGCTCATGGAGGGGCCAGAGATTGGGATGCAGGTTAGGAACAGGATAGCTTCCTGGAGCAGGTGAAGTCTGGCATGAGAAGAGGCCTGGAGTACTTTAGGACAGAACCCTGCCCTCCCCACTCCCTACCAGAAGGTGAGCCAGAAGGGCCGTGCCCGACATACCTGTCTCCCACAGGACTCGAGGGGTGATGGAGAACATCTTTGGTGTTGGCTTGAGCAGTCTGGTTGCTTTCCTGGGTTACCTGCTGCTGCTCAAGGGCTTCTTCACCGACATCTGGGTCTTCCAGTTTTGTCTGGTCATTGCCTCCTGCCAATACTCCCTGCTCAAGGTCAGGCCTTGCTCCCTGGTTTTCCACCCACCTTTCCTCAGACCTTCCCTTTCCCGCTACTCGAGGGGTGAGGGGTGTGCTAGGAAGCTGAAAGGTGCTTAAGGTAACATGTGACAGGTGAGAGCACCAAGGCTGGGACAGTTCAGTTCCTGCCCTGGTCACTCGCTTATCACTGCCCAGGGATAGTGCTGAGCAGGTTCCAGGGCCTCCTGTTCCCGTGGCTCTGGCTTCTGTCGCCATTACAGCTCTTTCTCCTCCAGAGCGTGCAGCCTGATGCAGCGTCTCCCATGCACGTGAGTACCCATGGAGCAGTGTCTCACGGGGAAGCCCTGACGGGGTGAGATCAGGTGGGAGGAGCTCACGGCAGGAGAGGGGCAGGGCCCTGTCAGCCCCCAGTGATCACTCCCACCCTGCCCGGCTCTCTAGCTTGGACCCAGGGCCAGGCCTGGGCTGTGTGGGGATGAGCACATACCTGTGGGGCGGGCAGCAGGTGGACTCACAGGCCAACTCCCCAGGGCCACAATTGGGTGATCGCGTACAGCCGGCCTGTCTACTTCTGTATCTGCTGTCTGCTCATCTGGCTGCTGGATGCCCTGGGCTCAGCTCAGCCCTTCCCACCTGTGTCCCTCTACGGCCTCACACTCTTCTCTGCTTCTTTCTTCTTCTGTGCCCGAGACGTGGCCACTGGTGAGACTGGGCAGGGTGGGGGTGGCCTGAGGAACAATCCCCCGTGGTGGGCCAAGGAAGGACCGGTGGGCTGACTGGGCCTTTGTTTCTCCTCCTGGCCAGTGTTCACCTTGTGCTTCCCATTTGTCTTCCTGCTGGGCCTCTTGCCCCAGGTCAACACCTGCCTCATGTACCTGCTGGAGCAAATAGATATGCATGGCTTTGGGGGCACAGGTACGACGCCTACAGGTGGCCCTGGGGTGCAGGAGAGCCCAGGGCCCAGTAGGGCCCATGGATTTGGGTCTGTGTCTCCAGCCCTTGCATCTAAACCATGGACACAGGAACTTGCCCCCACCCTTCCCCTTCCCTGGCAGGTGGCTTCAACCTGAAAATGTTAGAGATGCTGAAGGCCTCTCAGGGTTGGGGGTGCAGAGAACAATGGGGAATGGTATCCCAGGAAGTCAGCTTTGGGATCGTGCGGCACGGGTGAAGTGGGATGCCACCAGATGAGAACTTGCCTTTACCTGCTCCTCCTTGCCACACAGCTGCTACCAGCCCACTTACTGCAGTCTTCAGCCTCAGTCGCAGCCTGCTGGCTGCTGCCCTGCTCTACGGCTTCTGCCTCGGAGCTATCAAGGTAGGGGTGGCCTGCAGGGTGGGGGGCATGCTGAGGCCCGCAGAGTTGTTGGCACAGGGCTGTGAATTGGGCTCAGCAGTAGCTTCTCACGTGAGGGCACCCCTACCCCTATGCTTAGCTTCACTTCCCCTGACCAGCATGTGTTGTCCCCCTAGACTCCTTGGCCGGAGCAGCACGTCCCTGTCCTCTTCTCTGTCTTCTGTGGTCTTCTGGTGGCACTGTCCTACCACCTGAGCCGACAGAGCAGTGATCCCACTGTGCTGTGGTAGGTGCTGCATGTTCCTATCTGTGTGCTCCATGGGTGTGTGTATGTATCTGTGCACAGCAGGGGCTCGGGGATCTGTGCATTGGTGCATGTGTCTGTGACTAATGGACACTGGTCTGCTGTGTTCCTGGGGGCCCAGGCAAAGGAGGGTTTGCCTCCCCATCCCTGGCCCCTGACCCTTCCTCCTGCAGGTCTCTGGTCCGGAGCAAGCTCTTCCCCGAGCTAGAGGAGCGGAGCCTGGAGACAGCCCGGGCTGAACCCCCAGACCCATTGCCAGAGAAGATGCGCCAGTCAGTGGTGAGGAGGCATGATGGTGGAGCTGTAGTGAGGAGGCGGTGGCAGGTCCAGGACAGGAGGGACATATGGCCCCGGAGCAACAGGCAGTGAGCTATCTCTCTGGCCCTGCAGCGCGAGGTCCTGCACTCCGACCTGGTGATGTGTGTGGTGATTGCTGTGCTCACCTTCGCCATCAGTGCCAGCACGGTCTTCATTGCCCTGAAGGTTCGTGCGGCACAGGCCATCTCCCCTCGGTCTCCGCGGGAGCCTGCTGGACCGAGGGCCCGGAGCGGCCCTCACCCAACTCGGTGGACTGAGCACCTGGCCTCTCCCTCTCACAGTCGGTGCTGGGCTTTGTGCTGTATGCACTGGCCGGAGCCGTGGGCTTCTTCACACATTACCTGCTGCCACAGCTCCGCAAGCAGCTGCCTTGGTTCTGCCTCTCACAGCCTGTGCTGAAGCCACTGGAGTACAGCCAGTATGAAGTTCGGGGTGAGTGCTCACCGGGGCTGCCTGGGCAGGGCATCTGCAGGCTGGAGCAAGACCTGGTGAGAGCTGTGGTCCTCCTGCACCAGGGTGCCAGCAGGGGGCAGCCTCTGCCCACACTACCCTCTGTGCTGGTCCTGGCCCCACACCCCTTTCCTGCTCTGTCTGTACCCACTTTCTCAATTTGCCCAGTTCATCCTCTGTATGCCCTACCCCATTTTCTGCCCTCCTATGTCTGAGGAGATGGAATTAGAATTCCAGGGCCCTAAAGAAATCAGAATTACAAACTGATCCCCAGTAGCTTTTTAAAAAATATTTTGAGACAGCATCTTCATGTGTAGTTCAGGCTGGCCTTGAGTTCACTATGTAGTCCAGGCTGGCCTCAAACGCTCAACAGTTCTCCTGTTTCAGCCTCCTGAGTGCTGGGAATTATAGGCATGCACCGCCACATCTGGCCCAGCTTGGCTTCTGTCAGCTTGAGCCAAGTGGCCTTGCCCCTTAGAAGGGTCTGTGGATCAGAGTCATCTCACTGTTAGTCTCCCCAGCCTTTACTAGTGACCTTTGCCTATCCCAAGTGGACACCTGGGACTTTCTTGTAAGCCTTATTTCCACAGACAGTAAGGAAAGGTAAAACACCTGCCCTAAGCCTATGCTTTTTCTGCTAATGATCAGTCCCTCCGGCCCTTCCATAGTCTCTAGGGACCCAGGCTAGCATAGCCCCTGGCTTGTTAGCCCCCCGAGGATCTTGCTGGCCCTGCATTGCCCAGTCTTTGGGGTCCCAAAGGTGATGGGGCACCTAGAGACCAACAGACCACCTTCTTGTCACAGGTGCTGCCCAGGTGATGTGGTTCGAGAAGCTGTATGCTGGTCTGCAGTGTGTCGAGAAGTACCTCATCTACCCCGCCGTAGTGCTCAACGCTCTCACAGTGGATGCCCACACGGTTGTCAGTCACCCGGACAAGTTCTGCCTCTAGTGAGGACCACCTTGCTCACCAGCCCCTGATTCACATTCTTGTTTGGTTCCCGGTGGGGAAATTGAGGCCTGTAGAGGGGATGGGTGGTGTCTGAGATTGCCCAGCAAAACCCCGACATTACCCACTGAAGCACACGCGCCCCCTCTACTGCCTTTCGATGGGCCATCCCAGCAGACAGCCGAAGCCCAGGGCTGTTCTCAGCCAGGGTGGGTGAGGGTTGAGCCCCTATGCCCACAGCCCCTCAACCCCTGCCGAGCGCCAGATGCCTGCCCTTCACCCACAGCTGCCGGGCGCTGCTGATGACCGTGGCTGGGCTGAAGCTGCTTCGCTCAGCCTTCTGCTGCCCACCCCAGCAGTACCTGACGTTGGCCTTCACCGTCCTACTCTTCCACTTCGACTATCCACGCCTCTCCCAGGGCTTCTTGCTTGACTACTTCCTCATGTCCCTGCTCTGCAGTAAGGTGAGCCAGAGGCTGAGGCCTAGCACTCTTCTGCCTGGGAGGGAGAAAATGTCCCCATGCCTGTGGCCCTGTCACCTGCCATTCCAGATCAGCCCTGCTGTGGGCCTTTGCAGGGGTGACTCCATAAAGGGGTCATTTCTACCCTACCCTTGTAGAAAGGAAGGTGAGGCTGTAAGAGGTGGAGTCACTGATTCTCAGATCCTTCAGAGAATTGGTGGTCAGCCAGGATGTGACCTCGAGTCTGGCCTACCCTGCAGCCACCTTCCTTAGTAGCAGTTGGCATAGTTGGGACCTGACCTTGTCCTCTGGATAAGAGCCAGCCGTGGCCCTGAAGACGGTCAGAGCTGATCAGGAGCCCTAGAGCCAGGGTATGCAGGTTCTCTGCCAGGCTGTGGACTCCCCCTCAGGGCTGGGGACAGGTTACTTTGAACAGAGGGATACCCACCACACTCTCCTGGAGGCCAGCCGTGGAGTCTGAGACCTTGTGCAGGCCTGAGCTCTTTTTCACTCATGGGAGTGTTTGATTCTTGTTTGGGGCCTGGCCCAGAGTGGTAGGCCTCTGGACAATGCGTCACGCATACCAGTCCAGGCCCACTGTCGGAGTAGCAAGAGCGGAGCAAGTCGTCGTCATCTCACCTTCTGTGAACCTCAGGCATCTGTAAAATGAAGGCAGCAATAGGAAACTTTGGGGTAGTCACGTGAATTAAATGGCTAATCCTGCCTTATGCTCAGTTAGGAGTTGCTTATGATGTCAGGTGCCTCGAGCCAAGTCCAGCGAGAAAGCTGGGAGTGATTGCGAGTTTGGCCCCATGTGGCTGCCAGTGGGTGGCCCCAAGGCCCTGGATGAAGCCTGCTATCTGAGGTCCTGACAGACCCTACCTCCATGAGTAACCCAAGATGTTTTTATCATCTCCCTTTGGTGCCCCCACCAGCTGTGGGACCTGCTGTACAAGCTGCGTTTTGTGCTGACCTACATTGCCCCCTGGCAGATTACCTGGGGCTCAGCCTTCCATGCCTTTGCCCAGCCTTTTGCCGTGCCACGTATCTGTTGCTTGCTGTTTGGGTGGGAGTGTGCAGGGAGGGCTGCGGGGGCTGGAGAAGGGAGGCCGGGAGGTCCCATCTGCCTGCCACCACATCCTTGACTGGTGCCCAGACTCGGCCATGCTGTTTGTCCAGGCCCTGCTCTCAGGGCTCTTCTCCACGCCACTCAACCCCCTGCTGGGCAGTGCTGTCTTCATCATGTCCTACGCAAGGCCCCTCAAGTTCTGGGAGCGTGACTACAAGTGAGTATCACAGAAGACAGCAGCAGGTGCCCAAGGAGGAAGGGGGAAGGCTTGGAGCTCAGGCTGGACAGTGCCCAGCCGCAAGTGTGAGGGGGTGTGTGGGCGTGATGGGGACACATCCCCATCAGTGACGGTGGAACCAGCCACATGGTCTGGTATGAGGGTATGAGCCGAATGCCTCTGTCGTAGTGGTGAGATAGATCCCTTATGGGTAAGATCCCTTATGTCCCTGAGCGTCAGTCTTCTCTGCTCGGACAGTCTCATTGGGTTGCCATGGTTGACATCTGCTCTGCCTAGGGGTGTGGACTCAGAAGGCACCTGGTGGAGTCTAGACAGAGGGGACACGCTGATGGGCAGCAGGCGGCTGTCCCCAGAGTCAGCTTCACCTTCTGCTGATACAGTTTCTCTCTCTGCCCCAGCACTAGACGAGTGGATCATTCCAACACCCGCCTGGTGACACAACTGGACCGGAATCCTGGTGTGTATCCAGCCATCTTGGGGCTTCAGGACAGGGTCTCCCCTGGAAGCAGCCTTCCTTTCTGTCACTTTGTCCCTTTATCTTTTTGCTCTGGGTCCCAGGCGCTGATGACAACAACCTCAACTCCATCTTCTATGAGCACCTGACACGCTCACTGCAGCACACACTGTGTGGGGACCTGGTGCTAGGCCGCTGGGGCAACTATGGCCCTGGCGACTGTTTCGTCCTGGCCTCTGACTACCTCAATGCGCTGGTGCACCTTATCGAGGTTGGCAACGGCCTTGTCACCTTCCAGCTGCGTGGCCTTGAGTTCCGGGGTGAGCCAGGGCTTGGGGTGGGTGCTGTGTTCGACAGTGCAGAGTGGCTGCATCCCCGTCCAGCATGGCTCCACTGGCTGGGTGACCTCAGCAAGACACTGCTCCTCAGCCTGGGCTTGCCTTCGTTGGCATCTGCTCACAGCTCTTCTGGCCAGGCCTTGTTTCTGCCCTGACTTGGGGTCCCTATGCCTGGAAGCTCTGGCTTCTCCTGCCAGCTCGCTCAGCCATCTGTTGTCTCAGGCCAGGCCTCTGTCGGTACCGTGCACAGCCCCAGCCAGTGAGGCGGCTCCTTGCTCTTGAAAAGATGCTTACGTTGGATGCCACCTTCAGAGGAGGCCCTAGACGTGCGGGAGGAGGGGGACAGGTGTGGTGGCGCACGCCTGTAATCACAGCACTTGACAGGCTGAGGCAGGAGGATCACCACAAGTTGAGGCCAGCCTGGACTACAGAGTGAGACCGTCTCCAAAAGCAAAACAAACAAAAAACGATTCTAAGCACAAGTTGTGAGTGCCACCACCTCCACCAAGTTGCTTCTCATCTACCTGAGTTTGTCTTTGTCTATGTGAATGAGGGACCAGACCCCTGGCTTCCCCTCTTTTTCTCTGTCTGGCTGCTGGGAGTCAGGCAGGGAGAAGGGCTCACTTGTTATCATTTGTGCAGTGCCCACACGTGGGGAGGAGTAGCGGTAAAGCCTGGAGTGCTGTGCTGCGCACTCAGTGGGGGCAGCCAGGAACTGTCTCGGTGGCCGCTGACCGGCACCCCTCCTTGGCAGGTACCTACTGCCAGCAGCGCGAGGTGGAGGCCATCACTGAAGGTGTGGAGGAAGATGAGGGATGCTGCTGCTGTGAGCCTGGCCACCTGCCGCGAGTCCTGTCTTTCAATGCTGCCTTCGGGCAGCGCTGGCTGGCCTGGGAGGTGACAGCCAGTAAGTACGTGCTGGAGGGCTACAGTATCAGTGACAACAACGCCGCTTCCATGCTGCAGGTCTTCGACCTACGCAAGATCCTCATCACCTACTATGTCAAGGTATAGTGGGCGGGGCATGTGAACACTTCTCGACCTGGAGCGGCCTGAGTTCTGTGTGCTGGACCGTTGGGAGCCTGTTTTGTCTAAGGAAGGCAGAGGCCTCAAGAGTTTAAGTGTCCTGCTGGGCATGGTGGCTCACGCCTGTAATCCCAGCACTCAGGAGGCTGAGGCAGGAGGATCGCCTGGGCTACATAGTGAGTTCCAGGTCAGTCTCAACTACACAGTGAGACCCTGTCTCCAAAAACCAAAAGCAAACAAAAGTTTCAGTGTCCTCTACAGTGCCACTGCCAGATAGCAGGCCAGAGAGGCCCCAGTGTCTCTGATGATAGGCTATCTAGGCAGGGAGCTCCCTGTTGTCCCTCCAGAAGGCTGGCCTTAGGCAGTGGTTGTGCAGGAAGGTGGACAGCACATGTGTGGATCTCCCCGGGCTGCTGGACCAGCAGGGGCCATTGTTGAGGTCAGCCTTTGAGACAACTGGCCCCATACCCCACCCAGCCGTGATAATGATCTGATGGTGTTCGTGAGGCTGCTAAGTGGTGCTGCTTGCTGGGGGGTGGGCTCTGTGCCAGGTACCTCTCCTGAGTGGGACGGCCTTTGCCACACCCTCACAGAGAGCCCATGAAACTCCCTGGTGTGGAAGTTGTCTGGTAGAGGTGATGTGATAGCCCTGAGGCTCCAGAATTAGGAGAAAGTGCCAGTGCCAGGTTTTGAACCCAGGCCTGAGGGTCTTGAGATCTGTTAAGAATGGTTGAGGTTAGTGAGGCACAGTGTAGGGTATAGAAGAAAGAAACACTGAACTGGAAGCTCTAGGGGTTCTTGGCAGGCTGAAACATCACCTCCTTTGCCATGCCTCATTTTACCTCTTGAAGAAGTGGTGAAACTGGTCTGTGAGCGATGTGACTTTGTGCTCTCAGATATGGACACTGTGGGAATCAGGTGAATCAGTGGTCACTGCCCAGGCCCCCATGTGTCTACTGAGGATCTGCCTTGGCACTCCCTATGGGCCCTGGAGAGGTGACCTTTTGGGACCCAGGTGATCCTGCCCACCTGAGGTTAACCTATAGGGTGGGCCTTATATCCCAGCTGTCATTTTGCACCATGAGCACCTCATCTGTGTCACACACTGGAGAATTTCTCTCATTCCTCTGTCCTTCACTATTCCAGGGAAGAATTTGTGAGGTTCCCTGCCACTTTCACTGGCCACAGTCCAGAACGGGACAGTCCCAGTCCCAAGTCTAAGGGATTCATCTTCTTGTCCTGTCTCAAGATTGGTCAGCTCACCATGCTGCCTCCCACAAAACCCACTAAAAGCCACATGTGGCCCACTTATTGTGATGCCTGGTCTAGCAGGTTGGGCTGTGCCCAGCCCTGCAAAGGGAGGCCGACTTACCATGGCCCAGAGACCCAGGGAAGCTCTGCTAAGATGTGTGGAAGCCTGGTGGTACATGCCTTTAATCTAGCACACAGGAGGCTGAGGCAGGATGATTTTATCAGCCTCAGCTACACCAGCGCTTCAAGCGTGGCCTGGGCTATATCCTGAGACCCTGTCTCAAAAACAAACAAACAAACAAACAAACATGGAATACACGGTAAAGCTTGAAAGGGCTAGGGGTGGGGGGCGCTGGGACCTGAAGAGGCAGCTATGCCGGGAGCCCACTGGGTGTGCAGAAGGGTAGGGCAATGCTAGGCTACATCTCCCCAGCCTTTGTTTTCCTCTTTCTTTTGTAACTTGGGGTTAAGGATCTTCACACTGAGCTGCATTGCCAGCTGGATTTAAAAAAAAATATTTTGAGACAAGGTCTCTCTAAGTCACTGAAGTGACCAAGCTGGGCTGGAACTTAGGCCTGTGCATGGTCAGTTTTTGGCCTGCTGTAACCTCACTCCCCAGTGCAGACTTTTCTCCTGTACCCAGAGTGACTTCATTTGTTCCATCTAAGCGTACATGTAGGTCCCCATTTCCCCCTGGCTGCCAGCCTCACTCTATGTTTTATCCCGGTGTGCCAGCTGTCTCCCTTCCAAAAGTTCCTCTCCATTTACTTAAGGGGTGCAGGAGCCCCCCCCCCCCAGCTTTGGGCACAGGTGTTGTGCTGCTGGCTTTGTTCAGACTGTCACCTTCAACTGCCTAAAGGGCATTTAGGGCTGTTGACCTATAGGTTGTCCCACCACCTCAGGCTGACTTTCCAGGCCCTGAGCTCCCACAGCATCTTTAGCTCAGTCTGTTCTGCTGTGTAACATTATCTGTTTGAGCCTCAGTTTCCCTTATAAATGGCACAGATTCTCAGTCCATCAGGAGGAAGCAAACAGATGCTACCTGTAAGCACCTTCCACCTGGAGGATCAGGACCCTCCAGGGCTTCTCTGTAAGGGTGCTTCCTGTTGGCTTCCTCACTCCTCCCTGGCCCAGAGGAGCCTGCTTGCCCATGTGGCCTTGGGAGCTGAGCTGGGCTGTGGGAGGTGGGTGTCACAGGTCTCCTCAGGTTGGGACACTGCAGCTTTCTGCCAAAGTGCCAAGGGCTGGGCAGGCTGGGTTCCCTATACCTGACACTCAGCCCTCCTCTCCCAGAGCATCATCTACTATGTAAGCTGCTCCCCCAAGCTGGAGGCCTGGCTGAACCACGAAGGCATCGCAGCTGCCCTGCGCCCTGTGCGGGCCCCTGGCTATGCTGACTCGGACCCAACCTTCTCACTGAGTGTGGATGAGGACTACGACCTTCGCCTCTCTGGTCTCTCATTGCCTTCCTTCTGTGCTGTGCACCTTGAGTGGATACAGTACTGTGCCTCCCGGCGCAGCCAGGTTGGGCCACCACTACCCTGGTACTGCCCCACTAGGGTTCTAGGGATCTGGGCTTATTTTCTTCTCCCTTTCCCCTTATCCTGAGACTTTCATGGCTTGGCCCTTGGCTCTACCCCAGGTTCCCAGTCCAAGGTCTGAACTGGGCTCTGGGGATGGGGGTCCTTGTGCCATAGCCCGTGGATCAGGATTGGAACTCGCCGCTAGTGACGCTATGTTTTGGCCTGTGTGTGCTGGGCCGCCGAGCCCTGGGGACAGCCTCACACAGCATGTCTGCCAGGTGAGTGCCCGAGTCCGGCTGGAGGTACTGCTGTCCACTCCTCAGCCCTCTCTCCTCCCATGAAGAGCTCTCTCTGTCTGGAAGTCCACTTGGTACTTCCTGGTGGTGTGGCCTTTCCCAGTCCTTACTCAGCCTGTTCCTCACTGCTCTGTGAGGGACGTGGGCTTCTTGGCATGATGAGACTAAAGCCCAGAGTGAGGAAAGGTCTCGGCTTTTCAGAAACCTGAGACTCCTGGCTTCCTGTCCTTGCTCACCACCCTCTTCCTCCTCCTGCCCAGCCTGGAGCCCTTCCTCTATGGCCTGCATGCCCTGTTCAAGGGGGACTTCCGCATTACATCCCCTCGTGACGAGTGGGTCTTTGCCGACATGGACCTGCTACACCGTGTAGTGGCACCTGGGGTTCGCATGGCCCTCAAGCTTCATCAGGTGGGGAGTTGTATGTCCAGCATTGTGCACAGGTGGGCATGAAGCCTTTCCGTGCGCCAGGGGCCCCTGACCCCTGTCCCCCTCGGTTCTTCCCACCCAGGACCACTTCACATCCCCAGATGAATATGAGGAACCAGCAGCCCTGTATGATGCCATTGCAGCCAATGAGGAGCGACTTGTCATCTCCCATGAAGGTGACCCAGCCTGGCGGAGTGCCATCCTCAGCAACACGCCCTCACTGCTGGCACTACGCCATGTCTTGGATGATTCCTCTGACGAGTACAAGATCATCATGCTCAACCGGCGCCACCTCAGTTTCCGAGTCATCAAGGTGGTGAAGGCCCTGTCCCCACCCTCCAGCCCACCCCTTCTCCCTAGTGCTGGCCGTTGACCCTCAGTGTGGCCTCCTGCAGGTAAACCGGGAGTGTGTGCGTGGCTTGTGGGCTGGGCAGCAGCAGGAACTGGTGTTCCTTCGAAACCGCAACCCAGAGCGTGGCAGCATCCAGAACGCCAAGCAAGCGCTCCGCAACATGATCAACTCCTCTTGCGACCAGCCACTGGGCTACCCCATCTATGTGTCACCCCTTACCACCTCGCTGGCCGGCAGCCACCCCCAGCTGCGGGCGCTGTGGGGTGGCCCTGTCAGCTTGGGCGCCATTGCCCGCTGGCTCCTGCACAGCTGGGAGAGGTGAGCCCTGACTGTGGCTCCCAGCCATGCAGGCCCATCAAGGTGTCCTGGGCTTCCAGAGGAGGTTGCAGGGGTGCAGAGAGAGAGGAAGCAGTACCCTCTTAGCCCTCAGAGTAAAGAAGTGCTGGAGCCGGGCTTCATACCCCGAGAGAGAAGCCCCTTCCAGAGCTGACTGCCCCCAGAGGTGTCACTTTCTCCCTGGAGCTGACAGTGGCCTTTAGTCTTTAAGCACAGTTGACATTGCCTCCCTCAGAAGGCCACAGGTGGCAAAATCTTAGAGATGTGGGCCCTGGGGCTTGGAGATGTTGGATGACTTGATCCGGGGACTTGTATTCATTAGGTCTATGTCCTCAGCCTCGTTTCTCCACCTCATCTCTTCTCCACCTCTTCGCTCAGGCTTCATAAGGGCTGTGGTGCCGGCTGCAATAGCGGCGGGAATGTGGATGACTCAGACTGCAGTGGGGGTGGCGGCCTGACCTCCCTCAGCAATAACCCCCCCTTGGCGCACCCCACGCCTGAGAACACAGCAGGTAAGTGGGCAATTCAAAGTTGACTTCGGACAACCGCAGCCCAGCTGAGGTCTCTGCTCTCTTATCTGTCTCCTCCAGGCAGCAGCGACCAGCCTCTCCCACCAGGCCCTGGCTGGGGGCCACGACCCTCCCTGAGCAGCTCTGGTGATGGACGGCCCCCTCCATTGCTGCAGTGGCCTCCCCCTCGGCTCCCAGGACCACCCCCTGCCTCACCTGCTCCCACTGAGGGTCCTCGGCCCTCCCGGACCCCTGGCCCTGGTCTCCTCAGTTCTGAAGGGCCCAGTGGGAAGTGGAGTTTAGGGGGTCGAAAAGGTCTGGGAGGATCCGATGGAGAGCCAGCCTCAGGGAGCCCCAAAGGAGGCACCCCTAAATCTCAGGTAAGGCGCCTGAGGGAAGGTCAGGTCCTAGGAGCCTCAGGGCTGCTTGCCTGTCAACCTGTCTCTCCTCCTCAGGCTCCTCTGGACCTCAGCCTCAGTCCTGATGTCAGCTCCGAGGCCTCACCCCCCAGAGTAGCCCAAGACATTCCTTGCTTGGATAGCACTGCTGCTGAGAGTGGCACCCCCACTGGGGGTCCTGGTGACTGGCCTATCCCTGTGGAGGAACGGGAGAGCCCAGCTGCCCAGCCCTTGTTGGAGCACCAATACTGAGCGGCCCGGTGCCCACTGGATTCCATCCTAGGATCAGTAACTCAGATCCTTTTGGTTGCTTCTAGCCTTCTCTGTTGGACCGTGGACCTGAGTGGCTTTGGCTTCCTTCCTTGCCTGAAGCCTGACCTCCGGCTGCCTTAGTCGGAGTATCAGAACTGAATGGCCCAGACCTCTGATCTTGACCCCTGATCTCTCCTGATACATGGCCTGGGTCTCCCAAAATGAGGCAGGTAGCCTCCCAGCCAGGCCCTAAAAGCCAAACCCATGGGCTGGTCCCGCTTTGAGCCTGTGGCCAGGACTGACTCATCCCCTGGGTCTGCACTGCTTGCAGAGCTGGTCCCCCAGGCCTGGACCTGGAGCTTGAAATGTGGCAGGGGTTGTTTGTTTTCTTCTTTTTTCCTTTCTTTCTTTTTTTCTTTTTTTTTTTTTTTTTTTTTTTTTTTTTTTTTTTGTGCTTCAGAGACACCAGAATTAATAACACTATTTTTGATTTTGGTTGGCAGTTTCTTCTGTGTGGGAGTGAGTCACAGGGTAGTGGAGGGAGGTGGCCAAGTCACCCCTGGGTGAGCGTGGGGTTGTGGTGGAGTTGAAAGATGGAGGGCTGAGGAATGGAGCAGATAAGAGGACAGGCCAAGGGAGGGATCGGGTGGGAAGGATGGTCCCCTTCCCCAGAGCCTGTTCCTTTGTCCATACTTGACATGAAGGTCCAAGTGTTTTCCACTACTGTATGAATAGTTCAGAACAGTGACACGAACCTTTAGAACTCTCAGTGATACAGCCTGCTGGGACGTGCATGTCCTAGGTTTGCCACCAGTGGTTCAGAATTCCCAGCCCTGGAAATTCTGAGATTTCTGCATTTTATCAGCTTTGGTCTTGGTCAAAGCCTTCCTCTGAACCTCAGTTGCTCTAAGCCTTAAAGAGATAGTGACTCCTGTGTAGGGTGTTTTAGGAATAAATTGAGGTTTGTGCCCCACTTAGGTCTCCCGTTGCTGGTTTCAGTGGCACACGCCTGTAATTCCAGCATTCTGGGAGACTGAGGCAGGTGGATTTTAAGTTAGTGCCCTGTCTAGGCAACTTAGTGACTTAGCAAGACCTTGTCTCAGTAAATAAGGTATAGGGGTGTAACTCATTGTGAGGGCCCTGGGTTTAAATACCAGTTGTTTTTTTTTTTAATGTGAAAAGTGTGTAGAGCTGTTTCCCAGGGCCAGGTACTCCAGAGTCCCCGGGTCCTGAGCACCTGATGTACGCCAGGCAGGAGCCGGACACTAGGTGGCCTCCTCTAGGCCTCCGGGTTTGTCCGGAAGGCAGGTACGCTTGTTCCCATTACTCATCGTGGACGGGCAAGAGCCGCTGAAGGCCGGACAGCTAGTCGGGGTTGGGCCTGTGCTCCAGCTGCACGCGGGACTGACCACTGCCAGACCCAGAGTCCCCGCCTGCTTTCTTCCCGCCGCGGCCGGCTCC